GGGAAATTTTAAGGTGATTTCTCCAAATTTTCTGTCGTAAATGAATTATCCATGTTGTTTCAAAGCTCCAAACATTTACCAAATAAGCTAATCAATACTCTAAAAGACCGATTTATACCAATCAATATTTTTAAAAGCTGTTTTTATATGGTTTTGGATACATAATTCGCAAAATAATTAACCAAAGCTCATTGAATTAATATCGAAAAATGATATGAAGTCGAACACCGAAAATGATCGCAAGTCGATCAGTGTTTGACACTAGAAACAACGATAAAAATACCGAAATTTATACAAGAGAGAATAAAAGCTTTATAAGATTTATAAAAATTATATTATTTTAGAAGAAAATGAATCAACTCTTTCCATTAAAAAAAAAAAAAAACCCAAAAAAAAACAAACAAAAAAACAAAAACAAAAACAAACAAACAAAAACAAACAAACGAACAAACAAACTAACCTGTGCCACCAGTACTTTAATTATTCCATGATTCAGACCACAATTTACTTGATCATTTTAACTGTAAACATCTAGTCGTAATATAGCAAATTTAGATGTAGGCTATCTATTTTGGCAATTACGTCTAAAATCAAGTTTTAAACGTTGTGCAAAAATCCTCATGCTGGGGAAAGGAGTTTTCTTTTCTTTTTATCAACAAATTTGTGAGTTGGATTTTTTTTTTAATGTAGTGCCCCCTCCCCTCTCTCGAAAAAAAAAAAACCTGGGTCTGCGCCTGCCAATGTTTTCAGTGCTCTCTAGAGCCCAATACATGTTAAGGGTGGGTTCTTAATGCTTTATCCATTTACCACGACAGTGAAAAGACAAACAAAGATGAATATTTAATTAAGAAGATCTGACGCTCCGCAAGCACGAAGTATATTTTCTAACATAATATTTTACTGTAAATTTAGTTTGAAAATGTTAATTGAAAAGTCTAGTTGCAACCCCTTCCCTATTGTTGAAACAGTTGGACCCCCCCCCCCCCCCCCCACCGCATAGAATTTTCGAGATTGGAGATAATTACTTCTTTGTTTTTGCTGGCTCATGGCGCAGTCTTCACAACATTTTTTTTTCAATGCATGCCCGTCGGGCATCTCATCTACTACTTTTACCAAGTTTATATGCCCTACTCAAATTTTAACTTTATGAAATAAAAAAAATGCTGTCTTTACAGTGTATGAACCATTGTTTATACAAGAATGGACCAACAACCAAAAATTTCCAAGAGTGAAAAATATTCTTTCGGGTGGTAAAGAACATATACTTTTTATTGCTGTAATGCATTACCGAAAATTTTGAAATGTAGTAGTTTATCATTACGGAAAACCTGCATGCAGTTTTTAACATACTGAATTTGGATTCCATGTAAAAATCCTACAGTGTAATTACAGTTTGTGTACACAATGTGTACACAATGTGGCATGATTATCTCGTGCATTTCAACAACAGTAGAAAGACGACAGGGATTAGTTAGTTACGCTTCATTGCATATGACACCTGTGAAATTGATTTCAAAATGTGTATGCACTTCTTTGGTCAACTTATTTAGTATATATATACTTGTCTGTTTTAATGATATTGTTACATTAGGTAATAAAAAATAAATTTCACCTATTTACTTGACTACTGACGGCGTATTTATTTGGTACATTATGTTAAATACATGTATAAACAGGGCTGTTAAAAAAGGTCAGTGAATCTACAATAAATAATAAATCTACCAAAATGTGGTAATCATTGCTATTTTTGAAGAAATCTGAATTTAATAAACGAGTACTGAACAATTGAACATGTTGAAAAAGGGGGGGGGGGGGGGTAACGATAACTTTTGACGTAAATGTAATTTCTTTTGATTTTATTTACCGGGTATTTTACTAAACTACTATTCAAATTTTCACACACAAAAAATCAAGAAATGCCAATTAGAAACAAACAGGGAAAAGGAGCTGTCATGGAATAAAATACCGTACACACTTTAATATCGGAAACGAAAGTATAGATTGCAATCCACTGTGTAAAATATTTTTATATAAAAGTCAGTCTACAATGGAGAAAACATTACACATGCCCAGTGGGCATGTGAATCTTCATTTTTTACATGCCCGCCCGCAATTTTACCAGGTCCCGGGCATCGGACTCCCGGGTTATTTCGAAGACTGATGGCGGGTGTGACTGGTCAACTTACTTCTCCTAGGCACCTGATCCCACCTCTGGAATTTCCGGGGGTTCGTGTTTTATATCCTTTTCACAGATTTGTATTGTCTCTAGATTTTCTTGAGATCGATTCCGTTCCCTATCTTCACCTTTTTCAGGTACGTTGTCTTGAATCTCTCTCCCCCCCCCCCCTTAAAAAAAAACAACGATGCTGCTAGTATGTTTGCACCAGTTCCAGTAAAAAATAAGATTTGTTGAGATCTCAGGAAAATAGGGGCCGTAACAGAGGATTAATATTTGATTAAAGAAAAAGAAAAACGAAATCTTATAGAGATAATTTGAATGGTTTAAATTCGCATGAAAGATTTAAAAGTTTCTGAAGAAATAAATATTCAACATCAAATTTTTATGCAATTTTGTAAATTGTTTTATGTCTTCTGATTTTCAAATATGTCAAATTGAATTTGTTTCATGGCAAGATTGTTTAGATTGAAACTATTTTGCGTTGAATAAAGTAATCGAACTTTAAGAAAATTAGTCCTATCATAGAAAGTTGTGAAACTTCAAACAATGAATTGAGCCCTGACCACATAAATTCGCCTGAAACGAATACTTTAAGCATTCGAAATGTTACCTTAGAAAAGACTTCTAGGTGTAAAAAATGAAGATAACAAACAGTGATCGATGTCAAAAAAAAAAAAAAAAAAAAAAAAAAAAAAAAGCAAAACTTCTTTTTTTCTTTTTTCCATAACTTCAAATTGGGCTTCAAACATGTTCAACGGAGGATGAAAAAAAAGAGAGACAAAGCATATAAAACTGGAAAAAAATGAATACAGAGAGAAATAAGATAAAATCAACAGAAAAGGTGGAGGATCAATGAAAAATTTTGCAAATTGATAATGTTGACTGAATTCTACATTACATGTATTATTTCCTCCTTCAATTTAAAATTATTTCCAGTGATTACCAACAACGTTTCACAATCTTCCTCGATATTAAAATAAATTTAATGAAAATCATGTCAAAATGTTTGGTATGAATCAAAATCTATCTATAAAAGAAAAAGACGAGATTAAAAAAATCTTTTCAGAAGTTTGTCTATTTAATTTAATGTCATGAAAAGCAGTTCCTATTAACAATTATGTAATTCATGCGACTCGGAATAAATGGCGTTCGACTTCGTATCTAGCCGTTCGACTTGTGGTCGAATGTGTTCGACTTACGATCTATTTGGTATCTCGGGCTTTTTCCTTTAATAACAATTGTTTCATTCAGTTGCCACAGTAAACAACACGCTAAAATGACGCATTAGGCACACATTTCGATACGTCTCTGGGTTTATGACACGCATAATGTACCCTGTTGTCAACACTGTCGGTGAATATAGATAGGCGTTCGACTTGCGATCAGTTTACCCTATAACAATTTGTAAATGACATTGCTCATTTCAATAATAATATTGTACTATTTCAGTTGATGGGAATACTATATATAAAAATGTATGGCTACTACAACATGTTATCATTTATGAATTTGCCCACAGAATTAAGAGTTATGACATGCTGGTTATCTTGCATTGCCTTTGTTTATTTATTTTATTGCAGTCACGTGTATTTATGTTTGTTTGTATAGTGCACTGACCTGTGCAACTTCTGTAAGTTTCTTTGGTATCTTGCTCTCCTGCCATAGAAAACAGTTATTTTTTTGTCGCTACAGAGTGCGTCGTTCTACTCCGGTGACAACTGATTACACTGAACAGTGATTAAGTGAGTGGCTTATATAGGGGCCCTCAGATATAGCAAGTGAATAATGGAGTATGGCGGAAAATTCCTTTTATGAATCGTGTTCAGCTTTAAATAGAAAACCTGACCCAGATTGAGGATATCAGTAATTAAGAATACCTGACTAGTCTTGGCTTCTCCTTCCCTCTTAAAGGATATGTGGTTTTAATGCATCCTCTTCATACCAAGGTTCAGTAAGGTGACAGTTTAAAGAGCAGTGTGTCATTTGCTGATCAATGATTTTTTTTGGCTCACCAGGGCCAAAGGCTGAAGTGAACTTTTCTAATTGAAATTTGTTTGTTGCTGTTGTTATCGTTGTCATAAACTTTTCCCATTTTCATCTTCTCAAGAACCATTGGGCCAATTTCATCCGAATTTGCCACCAAGCATCCTTTGGTGAATCTTCTCAAGAACAGCAAAGCCAAAGTTATTCATATTTATTAAGAAGCATCCTCAGGTAGTGTAGATTCAAGTTTATACGAATCATGACTTGGGGGGTAGGGTGGGCCCATAATATGTGATAAAAGTTTTACATTGGAATATGGGGGGGGGGGGGAGCTGCTGACAAACAGCAGGGCCATAGTACCTCAGGTGAGTGTTGAGGCCCATGGGCCTATAGTTTTCATTCATCTTGATTTATCACCAATGACAGTCTTTTCAAAAGTAAAATCTGCTTCAAGCATAATTTTGAAATACAAACTGACGAACAGCAGGGCCATAGTACCTCAGGTGAGTGTTGAGGCCCATGGGCCTGTAGTTTTCATTCATCTTGATTTATCACCAATGACAGTCTTTTCAAAAGTAAACTCTGCTTCAAGCATAATTTTGAAATACAAAGAAATTTCACAATGGTAAAAATTTCTATTTTAGGGGATAAAATACCAGTAGGCTGTGGTAGAGTTACATGTATTGTTTATTCAAACTTTGTTTTTGTGTATAAATGCTTCAAATGCTGAAATAAGCATTTATTAATAATAATTTTCCAATGCAAATGCATTGCTGAAAAAAATGTTTTTAATAAATGTATTTTTCATAATAAATTCAATTTTCTTCTTTATTTATAGATCTTTCAGACCTGCACCTCTAAGAAGTTGATCAGCTGGAGTAGATGGCTTCATCATTAGAGATTGCAAAGGCTGGCTGGCTTTGGAGACAGAGTATGTGCAGTGTATAATCTGAAAGATATTGATAATCTCCCTTGAAATACATGCAGATATCAGATCTTGGTGAAATTTTACAATTTTTTTTTAATATAATATACCTTTACAATGTATTTTTCACCCTAAAAACATGATATCATTATAACTTTAAAAGCTTTTTGGTCAGTCTTGGTATAAGCCAATTCTGCTCAATTAAATATCACTGGGAATATCAGACACCATGCAGCTTTAAGCCTTTAGTTTTAATTATCATATTTAATTTTAATATTTACATTTGCAGATGTGTCAATAAATATGTTTGAAAAAGTTTGTATACATGTACATTTCTTTGGGCTGTCATTTTTATGTATTATAATTTCCATTTTAGCCTCATTTTTGAAAAGATGGAAAAAGGAATGGTTTGTGTTGTACCAGAATGGGGATTTACGATATTTTGAGAATCCGGATAAGCATGAACCTGAGGGGAGGATCTCAGTTCCTGGTGTTTGTAAATACATCTCTACTGGATCCATGGTAATTTAGTTACTCTCAAAAATACTACACATTTAAATCTCAATGATTGCTTATAGAGTACTATAAAGATAGAGCTTTACTAATGATAAAGGTATTCATAATTTCAATAAAACAAAGAATATGTATGAATGCAAAGCTCTGACAAATATAACACATAATATGGTATATTCTTTCTTATAATAACCAAATTTTGTATCAATTATCAGAATTTTTAAATTTTTAACAGACACACTATTTTGATAATTGTATTGTAATTTGTAGGTACATGTATAAACATGTGATAAATATGTTTATACATTGCAACAATTTATTTATCTAGTTATATGTACTTATAAAATTAACTTGCCCAGGTTGATGCTACTCCCCCAGATGGGAAATCCAAGGACAGCTTGCTTAGCCTGGTGTTGAAGGATGGAGAGATGAATCTGTGTGCTGAAGATGCTGATGACATGAAGTATGTGGCTGCACATTTATAACTGCTATATATTTCCTTTTTGTTATAATTGTAGAATTTGATCATGACTGTCAACCAACTTTACTTCACAGCTGCTTTCTTTCATGACTTGACAAAATTTTCATGATTTTATTCATGATTTTCCTTTTCATAACAAACAGAAGGTAAAACTTGAGGGAAAGTTGGAATTGTTACCATGCAGTGATACTATATTCCTAAGGGATAAGTATCAGTTTCAAACTGTGTATGCTCCATTAATTTATCTATATAACAGTATGTGAATTTTATTTTGGAAGGTCAAACTTAAATTTGTGTATTCTTGAAATTTTAAAACTGTTACCTTGCCAGCAGTGAGTTGGAAGTTTATATAACTGTAGTGTTGGAAACTCATGGTAAAGTTAGATAGACACGCAGGGCCGAGTGCTCATAAAAGTTGTCAGCTCTGCCAAAAATCTACTTGCCCGAAAAATTGCCTATTTCAAATATTATTTTCTATTACATATGTAAAACTATATATAAATTTTTACATATTCTGCCTACCAAGTGGCTTGCAAGTTGCAATCCTAAAAAAGTTTTTCAAAAGATGTCTCAGCTCTTCTTTGACTTGGACCCAGCACAACTTCAATCCCAATTGTATTCTGCTTTTTACACTTTGCGACTGGTATAATTAGTCAATTTGAGACAGATTTTATCAAATTTTTAATTGGTGAAAAATATTAACAAGTCCAATGGGGCACATTGTTATTTCAAACACTGATAAATGTAACATAATAATTAACCTGGAAATACTGTAGAAACTAGAAATATAACCACTACTTATTTGCAGCAAAATTTATTTACAGATGGAAATATTTTTATTTTAATCCTGTAATTTTTTTTTTTTGCGTAGGGCTTGGCAGATAGCATTAGAGGAAGCTCGCACTATGCAGGGTGTGCCTAGGCACCCTCCCCCGTATTCTAGCACAGTGATGTACCCAGGCCAGCAAGAGGTCCAACACCATTATCCCATACAGGTGGGAGGTCCATCCAACATTGTGTACACTACGTCCTACCCAAATGGAGGCTACCCAGGGCAGATCATAGCTCTGCCTGATGGAACTCAGGGTAAGATGGCATCGAAATTCTGACATCCATATTGTGTTCAAAATTGATTGTATTAAGACCTGTGTTAACCATGGGATATTTAAAAGGCTTAAAGTTGGTCTGGGAGTAAAAATCAGTGATTGTTTGCTGTGCATAATGTGTTCAGGCCACGACATTATAAATGAAGCCCATTTAACTTTTTACAATTTGTTACTTTTTACCATTTGGTGCAATATTTACATCCACTGAATTTTTTCCCCCTTTATTTCTTATAGAAAACAACTTCTTTCATCAGTCAGTAAACATTGGTTAGAACGCCTGCATAGATTTCTTATGCAGTGTGCTTTTCAGTCTATAAAACATACAATATGACATTCATCAGTAGTAAGATTTAATGTACTTAACTGCCTTATTTGATTAATTACACAAACATACCAGTAAATATAAACAACATAAATTTTCTTTATGTATTTTCTGCAGCAGCTACAGCATTTAATATGTTTAATTGTGACCTTGATCCTTATAAGTTCATGCATTTATGCATGTTCAAGGTTAATGAAGGAAAATTTTGTAAATTTGATTTGATACATTAACTTTGTATTAGAAAAAGACTGAGAGCTCATATTTAAACATAAAAATGCTTTAGAATTGAGGGTGTATAATTTACTTGACTCAAGTTTACCAAGAAAGTTCAAGGTCATGCATAAGTAAAGGATTGAATTCATGTCCTATAATTTTACTGGAAGCAGCTGATACATTCCCGAAACAAATGCTGCTTTTAAAGATCTTGAATTGAAATTCTGTGTTGACTGTATGTACAGAATCATGTGCAAAATTATGCAATAAATTTGCAGTTCAAAGTTAAGTTTGTATAGAGATAATGCAATCTTAATTTAACCTGCACATGGAACTGTGCACTCAAAAAGTTGCAATACATTATAACAATTCCATTTTTTGTATTGAAAAATTGTATTTTAGTAAACAGGAACGTCTGAGTTGCTCAAGTACTATTCTACGTCATGTTATATTTACATTTAGTGTAATTTTCTGTATGAAATCCATTGGAAACCTACAACATTCAATACCGTATAACACACGTGAAACCTTGTCACTGCACGGTAGAATTCACAGTAGGAACTATATTTTCAATACTCTAGGAACACCAGATATATAGAATGTATATTGTTGAGCTCAATTTAATTAAAAACATAATTAAACATTAAATTATTGTAACAATTGTATGTTTAAAATTAATTAATTTTTTTCCCTCGTCATATTCATTTGCGTTATATAACTTTCCAACGTCTCTTATGTCTATTAAGCACACCAGTTCTGAAAGGCAGCACTAAATTTATAATTAAGATTAACAGAATTAACAATTAATAAGAGAGAAAATTAGAGAATGTAAATATAAGCATTGAATCTTTATTTTTGGATGTCGTCAGTTCTATTACAGCACCTGTCTGTGCTGACAAATTATCATACCCGGGGGTATTCAATTTGTCGGCATGGCCAGGTGCTGTTATAGGACCGAAGACATCCAAAATAAGAATTCATTGCTTAATTATCAACAATGGGTATTCATTGTTCAGTATTTTTAATTTAAATGTTTTGACATTCTATGCACATATATTCTACATTTTTCTTTTCATTTTATATAGTAATGAGACCTGCTAATACAGTTTACGTTACCGACCCTTACTATTATCGCCGCCGTTATGACGGATCAGATGTGGCACTCGGAATGTTGGCTGGAGCTGCGGTCGGATCTATGATGTGGGGCCCACTACTGTTTTGGTAAAAGGGGGACTAGTTTTGAGCCATGTGAATTGTACTGGAGGAAGCATTGTACAACAGATAATAGATTAATTTTCAGAAAAGTGATAAATACCTTTCACAGGATATTTTCCATAGTGAAGAAAATTTGTTCTGGAATGATATCACAAAATTTTCATTAAGCCATAGTGTTAAGTTATGAAACAAAGTTAAAATTATATTTATACCATTGATTTTTAAACACCAATTATTGTCTGTAGGTGCATTAAATTAGATTTTTAAAAAGAAATTTATATAGTTAAGTAGCAGTTGTGCAATATTCCAGATATGACCTTTTTGAGATTCCACTATATTGTTTTTTTTGTGTTCATGTTTTTATTAGATCTACGCTGTGTCTTTTTTTTTTTTAAAGATCATTAAATAATGTTTTATAATGTTACTGTTTAAACATACTGTTATGCTACTAAAAAGTACTAATACTGTATTGTTGAATTCACTTGTATCATACTGATTTTTTCTTTTTTTTTTTCTTTTTTGGCTCAAGTAGCGTACATTCAGTGTTAACATATTTTTCCCCTCACAAATTTTGCTTAAACATATCTGTTGCATCATTTACCTTTTTTGGATTTTTTTAATGTTTAACTTGTATATTTTTGAAAGCATGTTTAAGAAGGTATATTGGCATTCATTACACCCAAAGGGTCCAAGGCATAATATTTTTTGCATCAGAGTGCATCAGATGTAATACTAGTATTCCAATCCCCAAGTGGTTTGCCTGTTTTATTTTCGCCTCATTCACCCTACTCACAGTAGGGCGAATTTAAAACGGGACGAATTAAAAAAATAAAAGTATAATTTCTTATAAACACAACTGTGATTGGGCGAATTGAAAATGGGGCAAAATTATTTGCAAGTTTGAAAGGACGAAAATAACATGGAGCAAAAATTACCCTGTATACAGTAATAAGAAATAAGGACAAAAGTCACATTTCAAGTGTTTCCCATCATTTCAAAGTAAAGGTTAGAGATCAATTGTAACAGGCTTTGGGTTGAGATTTATAACAATAACAACAATTAGATTTTGATTTTTTTTATTTTATTTCAGAGCCGCATTTTTATAATTTGCCAGGTAGCTGGTTCTTAGGGAAAACACTGAGTTCAAAATATTTTTTGAATAAAATAATCACCAAGTTGGTACATGTACTCATGTTATAAGGCACTCACGCAGGCTTTAAGTCATATCTCATTTGGACAAGTAATGTAAGTCCACCAGGAATGGTGCTGAGAAGAGTTTATCATGTACAGTGATGCATAAATTATTATCAGTATTCATCTTGATTAAAAAAAAAATATCGTAAGACTAGTTTGAATGAGAAGAAAATAATGTTTTTATTATTTTTCAGTCTAATACAGGCAAATACTCTGAAATTGAAGTTGTTTAAAAATGTATAATTTTACTCTTTTGTAGACCATTTTTGCATTAATTTTTTTTCTAAGTGGTCTTTTATACATTGTTAACCTATATTGACAGTGCCATATGTTGTATAATGTGTAATAAGTATGGTTTTTATTTTGTTATTTGAAATTTGCATGAAAATATTAAACATTAAATCTGAATTGACATGATATACTACATTTTTTTGTCACCTTTGTCATTCAGTGAGCAGTGATGTGTCTACCTCTACCAAACTTGTGAAGGAAAGAACTTTGTAACAAGTCACATGCTCCTTATTCTATCCCTAAATTAAAAATATGATGTATTTGTGAAACACTAATGCCTTGGTTTTGGCAGCTCAAGACCAGGGTTAGTTTTTCAAGGTCAAACTCCAGGGACAAGGGTTCAAAATTGATGCTACACAAAGAAAAGTCTTGTCACGAGGAATATATTTGTAATATATAGTGTAGGAAAGTCCTAGCACCCACCTTTCAAAGTTATGGCCAAGGTTAGTTTTTCAAAAGTATATGTAGGTCAAACTCAAAGGTCAAGGTCAATGATAAAAATGTGAGGACCCAAAGAAAGGTCTGGACACATAGAATACAGTGAAATATCAAAGTCCTGGCTCCAACCCTTCAAAAGTTATGGCCAAGGTTAAAGTTTAAATTTTTGCAAAAGTACATGTTGGTTAAACTCCAAGATCAAGGTCAGGAGGTCGGAGACCCATTTAGGACCTATCAAAAAATATTTTTAATCGAACAAATTCTCAATTGTGTTAAAACGAATTATATATATATATATATATACATGTATATATATATATATATATATATATATATATATATATATATATATATATATATATATATATATATATATATATATATATATATATACATGTATATTGAATTCGTGATAACAAATTTAATGTATTATAACAGGTTTTTTGAATTCGTGGTAACGATTTGAAAAAAATTCGTTTTAACAGATTAAATCCTTTAAAACAAATGGGCTTTGTACGTGCGGAAGCCCATTTAGGACCTTTCAATTTTTTTTTAAATTTGATAGAAACGAATTGTTAAAACGAATTTAATTCGTTATACATGTATCAATTTCTTTGAATTCGTTAACATGAATTTAATCTGTTATAACAAATTTGTTGAATTCGTTATAACGAATTCAAAAATTTGTTATAACGAATTAAACTACACGTAGTTTTAATGAATTCTAAAACTTGTTGTATAACGACTTAAATAAGTTGAAACGAATTCTTTAATTTGTTATAACGAATAAAACTCGTTTAAACGAATTCGGTAACTCGTTATATCGAATTTATATATATATTTCTATAGACCCTAATTGTTGAATTTAATTAAACGAATTTAATTCGTTATAACAAATCTTAGAATTTGTTTAAACGAATTTAATTTTTTATAACAAATTTTTGAATTCGTTATATAACGAATTCAACAAATCCGTTGTAACGAATTTAATTTGTTATTACGAATTCAAAAAAAAAAATGTTATAATGAATATTAAATTCGTTATAGCAAATTCGAGAATTTGCGGTCGTTATATATCGAATTCAAAAATATTTTTGATAGGTCCTAAATGGGCTTCCGTTAAATATTCAATAATTGCACACGAAAGGAATTTTTGCCTGTCAATTAATATATTGCAAACATCAATTCAATTATGGATATTGCATTAAATAACAACTGAATAAATGCTGGAAATAATTTTGAATTGAAGATAACGTTCATGATATGTATGTGTGTGTTGATTGGGGGCTGTTTATTAATATTGGAGGATGAGATTGGGGTGTGCTCGATAAGGGTTTGTCAGAAGAAAAAAAACGTATTGGACTGAAACCCATATCTATACAACTTGTTGAAAATATTGCCATGCTTCACTTCTTTCGTATTATATACCATTATCTTTAAGCAGGGGTCAGTTTTCAACAGGAATCATTTTTCCCCTGGGGATCTTTTCCTACAAATAAAAGGCTGACCCCTGGGATCTTTTCCTACAAATGAGCATTTTTTTTCCTTCGGGTAAAATTCATAGGGGCTTGTCTTCCGGATTGTTAAATGTAAAATAATTTTTTTTTAAATTGAATCTATTTTAAATACACTTGAAAGTTGTTAAAATAAAGATTCTGACACTTTCAGTCAAGATAAACCACGTTTAAAAAAGACGTACCACGCCTGTATACATAAACTCTGTATATATAGGTGTGGTACGTCTTTTTTTAAACGTGGTTTTTCTTGACTGAAAGTGTCAGAACCTTTATTTGAACAAGTTTTAAGTGTATTTAAAGTACATTCAAAATTTTTTAAAATTTATTTTACATTTAACAATCCGGAAGACAAGCCCCTATGGTAAAATTGACCTCCGGTCATTATTCTACAGGGATCATTGATCCCTGTAGATCACTGTATTAAACCTATAGCTTTGTATGGCTGTGAGAACTGGAGCATTATTAATGTTACTCCAAAAAGGAAAAATGTCCCTCTTTTTGATATATTAAAAGACTGGGAAGTTGAAAAACTCAATATGAAATTCTGTAAATATATTATGGGGGTATCTAAAACTTGTACAAACGTAGGAATCTATTCTGAACTGGGAAGGTATCCATTTTATATAGATATGTTAAAACAAATTTTCATGTACTGGTATAGACTAGAACACACATCATCTAATTTACTGGAGGCAGCTTTCAATGAGTGCAAGGCAAACACCATCAACAGTGATTGGTACTCCAGTATATTATTCTACAGTGAAAAACTACATATTGATTTGTCCCTATGCAAAAAATTAAGTGAAAACAAATTTAAATTGTACATTAAAAAGCAATTACATAATATTTTTTTTAACTCTTGGAAAGATATCCGTATCAATTACTTAGAAGGATTTGGTAAATTAAGTACATATTTTAAGTATAAAAGGTCATTCAATTTTGAAAAATACTTGAATATGAAAAACCGGGACAATCGGGTAATTCTCACAAAATTCAGAATTAGTAATCATTGCTTAAGTGTAGAGACGGGTAGATATGAAAGGATACTTAATAAATGTGGTAAAAATGAAATTCTTCCCAGGAGTGAAAGAGTCTGTCGTTACTGTACTTCCAGTCCAACTGAGGATGAAATACATTTTTTGCTAGAACGTTCCTTGTATAATGATTCTTGAGGAGAGTTTTTAAACAAAATCTGTAAAACTTTTCCAAATTTAATACTGCTTAATAATGTGGACCTGTTTACATGAATTATGTCAAATGAAGATTCTGAGTTTGTTGTTTTATTATGCCAACATTTAAATGAAAATTTTAATATGAGAAAACAACATAGTACAATGTAGGCGTATTACAGTCATTATACATATACTATTTGTATACATTTTATGCATCCTAAAAGTTGTCAGCTAACTCTCTGTTCAATATATGCAATTGTTTGTTTTGTTCTGTTTATTGTTATTTATGACTATGATTTCGGACACTGTTCATCTTTATGCTCCACTGTGGGCCCAAATTGGTTGAATATATTCTATTCTATTCTATTCTATTCGTCTGAACATCTGCTTGAGCAGCCATACTTCGCAGTATTTCATTTTCATCTTGTAGTCAATTTAACCATCTAGGGAAGCCCCTGAGAGATTTTCTATGGGTAATTAAACGAAGGAAAGTTTGGCTTTTATCGATATACATGTAGTTATGATAAAAAAGAATAGTTGTTTTAAAAAATAATGGTTTAAAAAATAATAGAAACAGTCAACATCGTGCAGAGTTGTTTCGTAATCTGTTTAATAAATCTTTTTTTTTCATATTTTTCATCTCTTCTGATTTTTTACCTCAAGCAGTGAGGTACCCATCTGCAGTGACTTTCTGGTTTTCTTTTATAGCGACCCCATCCTCCAATCCGAACGGCCTTGTAGTATATCCATGCGAACATAAAACAACGTCTCCTTCTCCGCCAGAGTCCATTGCAAATTCTCCGCATGTTCCTATGGAATTTCAGGTCACAACTTTTTCGAGATATGCGATATCTGGGATAAGACCCCTACAAGAAAATGAACACAGAAAAAATTGTGATAAAAAGCTTTAAAATGATAGATGTAATGTATATCAAATGATCAATGACCCCCCCCCCCCCCCCAATACATAATGTTTTACATTGAAATGTAAGCTCGTGTTTTTTTAGAGAGGTAACTAGCAGAAATCTTTAAATATTCTAAACCATTTTAAACTACATGCATTTCACACTTACATACAGTAAATCCTCTACATATCAGCAAACATATTCGGGCTACACTTATCAGTTTACTGAAGGATAGTTTAAGCATTCGGATATACTCCATCGGGGAGCTATTTTTTTTTTTTTTTTTTTTTTTTTTGGTGTTTGACAAATTAGCAAGTACTTACACACTTGTAGCACTGGTCATGCATGTTGCATGCTGGTCTGAAAGTCTTCTTATAGAAAAAGGGTAGGTTACCAGGTATGGAACAGCCATCCGCTTTATAGCTACAGGGCAACCAGTATGCATCAGTGCCTGGTGAATACAGCATCACGGAGAACAGCCACAGGAGAAGAAAGACAGGTACGGGACCCATATTGCCTGGATATTTGCAGAAAATATGTAAACAAATACAAGCGTGTTTGTTTTTCAATTTTTTTTCTTCACTGAATGTGTTGCAAATATTTCAAAGTTAATCTGAGAAATGTTTAGTGGGTTGCAAAACCTCTGACTTGCAAGGATGTCATAAATATGACATAACAGAACATTAAGAGGAAGATTGGATCTTAAAGCAATATGAGCTGCAACTTTGATGTCAGAAATTTTTGTTGCAAAATTGTAATTAACTATTTTAATGACAGAAAAAAGAACGTTTATAAACTTCTGTTGTTCATATTTGCGATGGAAGAACTATTTATAAGCTTTGATTGAAGCAAAATTACATTATGGTCGTCCTGTACAATATTGATTTCTTATACAATACGATATATTTGATTGAACAGAATCGTTTATTCTGAAACAATTTGACACTTTATTTCTGTCTAATTGATCAAAAATGTTTAAATTATATACAAATTAACCATAATAACACATTTTAACAGCAAAATAAAATTCTCAAAAATGCAGCTCATATTGCTTTAATACTATCTAGATTTTTTTTCTGAAACTGAACCATATACACTCCA